TTCCTTTCCTTCCTTTCCTTCCTTTCCTTCCTTTCCTTCCTTTCCTTCCTTTCCTTCCTTTCCTTCCTTTCCTTCCTGTCCTTCCTGTCCTTCCTTTCCTTCCTTTCCTTCCTTTCCTTCCTTTCCTTCTACCTCTCTCTCTCTCTCTCTAAAACCTGTCAAAAGAGTTGGGCCATCTACTCCTCAGCTTTGTGTTGCCAAATTGATGAGTGAGTGAATACTTAAAACAGCCAAGAATTGCAATATAAGCTGTGTGTTTCACAAATTCTCCAATGTTGAAAAAAATCCGAATGGTGCAATTTCCTCGATTGCTTTTACTTTAGTTTATCAAGGCTGATATCCATATGGGGAGTAGATGGCGCAACGCCGGTTGTCAGGAAGGCCCAGTAGATGGCTCAACTCAATATTCCAGGGCCACTTACTTTTCAAAAAGAGTAAATACAACTTGAGCTACTAGGAACAAGTGCATCGCTTCTAGTAACAAGTGCCTTACTGGTAGTAACAAGAAGCTAGTAGTAACTTGAGCGAATGGAGATCAGGCACCCACTGGTCGGGTCTTCGTAAAGCTGGACGATTAGCACCATCGCTTCTGCGTGCAGCGCATTCGTCAGATGCATCACCACAAAGCCAGGTATTAACAAAAATTTCAACTGATAATAATTGCATATTTATTTATATATTATATAACTGAAAATAGTTGCGTGTTGTGATATGTTCAATACTGTGCCGATCAAGCATAATTATACTATTTTTTGTATAATTGAAAACGATAGAGCAATCTTTTCATTATCGTTCCTGCAGAAAGCTTCACAACGGATTTTCTGGGGGGGGCCGCAAACACGCCTCATGATCCCTGCGACTCACTTTCCCTGCGACTCACAGAAAAAAGGAATAACATATAAAGGAAGCTGATGTGCTTGCAAAGAAACAAGGGTGTTCCTTCCAAGTCAAGTGCCTGCCAATTAGGCCCTGAAATTGCTAAACATGGTGTTGCTGACATCCCTGTGCTTCGGATGCTTCCTGCTCTGTGGCGCAAGATTCTTCTTAGCCAATAACAAAACAATGTACCTGTCAACGTCTCTCCTCGGACAGGAACTGCAGTATGGGCGCATTTGGCTCTGGTGGCACAAGATTGTCCCTGCAGGAAGGCTTCGCTGTAGCGCGGTGCTTGTCTTTGGAAGACATCGAATGTTTATGTGGAAGCCGTCTTGAAACAAGAGGCGGTTCCCGCGTCATCTTCTACAGCAGCCAGGGGCAATAATCGGGTAGGAAAGAATGATGGAGAACGTTTTCTTGGTACTTATGTCCAAGAATGTAAGGGATACTCAAGATCAATGCCTGAGTCCTCTCAAAGCCACTTCTACACCTGTTCATCGATGTCTTTGGTTAGATCAGATAGCATGTCTGGAGTACTCCAAGGCTGCAAACACGATCTGAAGAATTTACAAACTCTTTTTCTATTGATTGACCCAAATGATGTAGATGGCTCCTATAAAACAAGCTGCTCGACGAGATGTTTTCTGGAGCACGGCCCATAGCAAATTCCCGCAAACAGCTGCCCCACCCAATAGCGATGGCCTCCAACCTAATAGGGATGGCCTCCAACCTAATGCAAACAGTGTCTTCTCAATTTCTCCCACCTGAGTTGCTCCAAGAGGATTTGGTGCTGCGAATGTGCAGGGTCCTGGACGGGAAGAAAACAAAAGCAGCCAAAGAACATGGGTAGCCCTCTTCGTGTTTCTGCTTGTTCCTCCTTTTTACAGACTTCCTTGGGACCTTTAGACCGAATGCTTTTGTTCTTCATTTGCTCTTTTGTGCTTTGATCTGAGCAAGTCCTGGGACACCCTCATGAGAGTCTCGTGGCAGCTGGCCTTGCAGTCAGAAGAAGCGTCAGAAGCGACGAAGCGCAGCTTACAAAAACTGTGATGTTTGCCTTCGTCAGACTGACTCGACTGGAACTACTTTGCTTCGACTGCTTCCAATCTTCTAGATCCCAGCCAAGAGACCGCTTTGCTCAGTGCCTCCTGATGAAGCAAGGACAACTAGACATCCACATTCCAAGATTGGCCAAAGCAAGTCCTATAGAATCGGGTTAGATTCCAAAAGAACATCGTTTTTCTACCATCTCTCCCAACACGCCTTCCTAGCATCAACAAAAAGACTCAGGGGCAAGTGGTGTCTGACTTTGTTGCTTTTCAGAGCTCTTAGTAGCGATGCCCTTTGCTCCTAGTAGCGTCCTCTTGCTAAGTGATCTGGTGATATCTCTTATCAAAACCTGTCGGATCCAGTCGGATCGCCACTGCTGCGCTCCGTCCGACTCGGTCCAACTCGGTCCTTGCACACGTTGATCTCTTGAAAGCCCAAGGACCGTATGTGACAATGCCCATCCGCACTCGCCCGGATTCCATGCCTGTGTGCTGTGTTTAGCTCCGAGTACAACATGATACAGAGCAAACGAACATAGTGACAAGCTGCGTGTCGGTAATTAAGCATGGACATGGTCTCACAGGCCTCTATGTTTCAATCAATCCTTGGATTTCAACTATTGCAAACTCAAATTTGCAACAAGTGCCTTACTAGTAGTAACAAGTGCCTTTCTAGTAGTAACAAGAAGCTCCTAGGAACACGTGCATCGCTTCTAGTAACAAGCGCCTTACTAGTAGTAACAACAAGCTGAGTTGTGAAGAGATGTGACAGAAACCGCGCACCTCGCCATTGAGACCATGTGGTGATTGGCAGCCCATGTTCGCACTCCGATGGCGACTCGCGTAGGCACCGACATGCCTGGATCGCCTCGATTCTGCGCAGATTCATCGCTCACGTGGGCTTCTTGTGAGCGGTGCTTTTAAAAGGCTAAGAAGAAGCTATCGAGGAATAAATAATAATACATTTTAAACCTTAAAAAACAGTAAGAAAAGTATCATAGGTCTTTCTTCCATTCTTCTTTTTTCAAAAAGGCTAAGGCGGCTAAGGCATTCCTTTTGCAGAAAAGGGCATTCCGGGCTCAAGACCTTGTAACACACGTTTTGTACACTTTCATTTTTAACGGAAGCCATTCAAGTCGGAGGCAAAAGTTAGGTCCATTTTTTCCCACAGTTTCACGCAGTCTTCCCAAATTCAGAAAACCTTCATATTATATATAGACAAGTTGCTATCCATCTCATCGATAAGCTGATGGTACTCGTGCTTCTGATGGCTGGGCAAAGAATTCAGCAGCTGCGTCAACTTGGACTTCCAGCGAGCGCTGACCATTTGCTCGTCCACCAGGCCTAGTATTCGTCGCGAATCATTCACACGATCAACATGAGACCACACATTCATTCGACTGTTCACACCTGGACTCGATCCCTAAAGCATCTTAAAGTACTGGGGTTCGCCTAGCTGGCCTAGCGCTTCACAGGCCTTGCACAAACCTGTGGACTTCAAGCTGACCGCTTCGAGCTCGGTCGCGAAATCAACTGTCGTGCAGCTGAATCACGAACTCGTGCACCTTGCTTTCTCATGTCTCCAGCTCTCTGGTCTATGAGGTCCTGCATTCGAGCAGAGAAAGAAGAGAACTGGCATTCTTCCTTGTGATACTGGGGGGTTGTTCAGGCCAAGCCCTAGTGCATTGCTATGGTTGAGTCTCCCGATGTTTGAGAGAAGGGGTGCATCTTCACACGGAAGACAAAGAGGATAGAGTTCGACAGATTGATTTCGCCGGGCCACTACAATGACCTCGTTCTTTGACACACTGGGTGTCTTCATATAGTCGCAAATCCTTGGTCGCTTCAAACATGGAAATGATCCCAGCAATCAAAAACCAAAGGGTTTAGGGTTGCGTCTCAGCCGTCTCAGAGTAGTGAAATTGTTGTTATCTTTCTCAAGCAAAGCTCTAATCTCGTCACCAACCCTTAGACATTTGCTTGACCTCGGATCAACCGAACTGATTCCAAATGATTCCAGCAGTTGTTGCCGAGGATCATGAGTGCTACTTCCCTTCCACGTATTCGTGACAGAAGGCCTGCTACTAAGCCCATTCGGTAGGAGCAAACTTTCCTTGGCTCATTCGATTTGGTTCACAAAAGGAGTGAAATATCGAACAACACAACATCATCAGTGTTGGTTCTTTCTTTTCAAGTTCCTGTTGCAGGAATGCGTTCAAATGCCTTCTTGCGAGAAATGGCGGCAAGCTTCTTGAGTCCAAGGCCAAAGGTCCGTTTGGTTATATGAGTCAGTCATATGAGTCATGCCCATCCCACTTACACTAAGTTGATCTAAGTTTTAAAAAAATCTCACAGCAGCAATACGAAGGAGTGCGATCATCTCTTCGAACCGTGTTACTAATAGGAAGAATGCTACTAGTAGTAGTAATGCCCTTCTTTACTAGTAGCGATGCCCTTCTTTACTAGTAGCGTCCTTGCTCCTAGTAGCGATGCCCTTTGTTCCTACTAGCTGCTTGTTCCTAGCAGTAAGGCCAGGAGGCCCTAGTAGCGTCCTTGTTCCAAACCGAAGAAATTGAGACAAGTGACTGCAGCATTTTGGTCGTCATAATTTTCCCAAAGTCAGTAGCTAAGGCTGCCAACGGCACCTAAGTGCATCAGCGGTGCATGTGTTCGACATTCTAGGGCTCTTGGAGCCGCATATTTACTACTAGTAAGGCTCCAAGAGGCACCTGTTACTACTAGCTTCTTGTTACTACTAGTAAGGCACCTGTTACTACTAGCGTGGCACTTGTTTCAAATAGCTTCTTGTTACTACTAGTAAGCCACTTGTTACTACTAGCGTGGCATTTGTTCTTAGTAGCAATAAGAATTCAATTCGCCCAGGAACTATGAAGGATACGATGTTGAGACATACATCGCTCAAGCTAGCTCCAAAGCTCTTGCCCTGGAGCAATTCAAAGCACGCAGAACAAATGGCTGCTCACATTTATCTAGTCCCAAAAAGCTTCTGGCGGACGGGTAAAAGTAAAGCAAATCCGGGGTCTGTCAAGTCACCAACTGGACAGATAAACAGGTGTGAAAATGCTTCAGTTGACCGCACTCCAGCCTCAACTAGATAGTCCAGCAAGGGGTTGCCAAACCAGTATGTCAGCAGCAAACCAAAGGCATCGCATTTTGCGCGATGCAGCGAACCATACTTGTCGTAGATGATGCCGACCAAAATACCTGGTCTTTAGAACATCTGAGAAACAAGTGCATCGCTAGTAGTAACAGGTGCCTTACTAGTAGAAACAAGAAGCTAGTAGAAACAAGTGCATCGCTACTATAAAGTTTCTTGCCCCCCTTCTTAAGCTGAGAGTTGGATCTAAAGTCCCCTCACAAGCAACTCAGACAGCTTGCTACCAAGCAACCGTAGATAACCTTAGATTGCAAAGAACATCAAAGAACTCAAACTCATGCAAATTGATCCTGAATCCTCTCGCTAACTTTTTCAATCAGCACAAGGCATGGAAAGCAGCACTCAGCTCGGGCAGGCCATCGGCCGCCATCGGCCTTGGCCTCAGCACTTATCACTGAAGGACAAGACTGTCCAACTCCTTGTCCACCAGACTGTAGCACACCTGCCATCCGTGTCCTCATTCACCAGCTTGAAAACCGGCGTCAAAGCCCCGCTCCGGGAGCCATGGCAGATGCTCCTCAAGACTACCGTCAAAGCCTACAGAGCTTGCAAAGCTAGGAGCCCCTAGTAGCATCCTTGCTCCTAGTAGCGATGCCCTTTGTTCCTTCCTTGCTCCTTGATCAATTGTCCAATCCTGGAAGCTCGCAGGGCAAAAGACGGGAGCGATTTTTCAAGCTCAGGAGATCGTCCAAGCCTTGCCTCCGCCTGTTCGCACTCTTGTGACACCGTCACGAAGCGCACGATAAAAGGCTCAGGTGCATCCTTCCCAATAAAAGGACGACACCTCTTGTTCATTCGGCTCTCCGAAATGAACCTTCACAGAAAAACACTCCAACCGGTCTCGTTCAGAACCCATCTCGGATCTGGCTTCACAATCACAAACGATCTGTGTTCCAGCTGACAGCCAAATGCTTTTTTCCAAGAGACGCACGTAAGTAGTGGACCACGTGGTGTCATCTGCAAGGGTGTCAATTGAAGTGAACTCATCTAGTTCAACCAACAAATGAAAATGTAACCCATCAAAGAAGCCCTCGCGCTCTGTCACAAAGGTCACTCGGCGGGAGCGACATCGTAGGTGCTCGTATGGGCAGCGCTTCTCGCTTTCGCATTTCAAGCGCTGAAAGTCGATCCATTCGAATGCTTGGGGCTTGGCCAGAAAACGTTTCGAATCAAAACAACGAGCGTGGTACTTCACCTGCGCGCGCACCCCAAGTTCTCCATTAAAGGAAGCGTTCATCACCTGTCCAAAACGGTCAAGAAAATTGTCAAAGCGCTGTGGCCCACACGAAAACGATCGAAAACGCTACTGCTTGTTTACAGCCTGCTTTCCCAGTGCCCGGCCCTGCCTCTTCTAGCTGTGTGAGTTGTAGCGCTTCAGTGGGTGCGAAGAGCGTCCCCGCCGCCCGAGGGATGAACTGCGTCCTTACGCTGCACAGTGGCCTTGCACACAGAGCGGCCATGGTCTCACAGACGCCCTCAGAACTGGCAATGTGGCCCAGCAGCTCATGGATCACCACGTCATAGGGCGTTTTTGGAGTGACCGGAGTGACTGAAGTGCGCTGAGTGACCTGTGACAACGATCGAAGCGGATCGGAAGGTCTCACAGGTCGAGTCGTTCGAAGTGGAGCTTCCAGCTTGAAAGCATCTACTGGATGCAACAGCAAGCATTGCACATCACAGGCTTCCGGAGTTGCCAAAGTCACCTTGTAGATCTCGGATTCCAATTCTTCGGACACTTGCGTTCCAATTCCTATCAAAGGAAATTCCTGCACACAACGAATTTCTGCACAGCTTTCACCACGAATTTCTGCGCTCAAAAGGTCCACGGCATGGTGCCAAGCATTTTGGTTCACCTCGATAGCATGGACGTCGCGCGCTCCAGCGGCCAATGCCATACGACTCAAGAAGCAAAAAGCTCCAGTGCCGACATCAAGAACACTCTTTTTGCTCACAGCTCGAGCAATGGCTTCCCAAAAGGCCTTGACCCGGACAGCATCTGAAATCATGTCTTTGTGATTCTGCAAGCTGTAGTCGTGATTTTGTGTTTCGACATCACGGCCATGCGAGGTCCTTGCTTCCAGAATACATCTCAAAACCTTGGCAATCTCCGCAGGCTCGCACATCTCATTTCGCACACAACAAATTTCGGAAAGCTCGCGCTTCACTTCGTTTCTCACCAGGCGCTTCTGCTCTTTCCACACTTCTTTCAATCGTGCGAGGCCTATCTCATCAGTCTCTTCACACTTCATCGTCTTCATCTTTTGCAAAGCCTTTTCCTCTATGTCCAGCAATGAATGGCGAAGTCGACTCAAAATGCCAGGGGTCTGCAAAACCCGGAAGGGATACCTCAAACACGCGGAGGAGGGAGAATGGCCACGAACCCAAATGCACACTTTGAATAACTCAGATTGTGTGAAAACTAGACTTTTGGGGAACATTATAGCTTAATTAGAACTCTTGCGCGTCACACTTGTCAGAAACTGTGTGGACATACAAAAACACTCCTGCACAGGCTCCTGTGGGAGACGCGTCAAGCCTTCGAAAGTGAAGCGGGAAGTCTCGTCAGCGCGAAAACATCATGCAGCCCTGCCAAGCAGTTTTGAACAAGGACGCTACTACGGGCTCCTGGCCTTACTACTAGGAACAAGGACGCTACTAGCAGCAAAGGGCATCGCTACTAGGAAAAAGGACGCTACTAGGAGCCTGCCAAGCAGTTTTGCAATCGCTGACTTACCAATCCCAATGGCACGGCGACAGTCACCTTCACCAAGCGTCGCAACCTAGCGATTCCCGCCTCCCACGGAAGCCGTCTCCCAACACCTCTAATACGCACAAAGTATGACTATGCCACGCCTTCACATGTCTTAGCAAAATCGCACCACACCACATGACATAGTTGGAATGATTTCAACACATTGCAGCTGCATCCATGTCCCTCCAAATTGCAATTTTACCTGAAACCTGTAACGAAAACACAGCTTCGAGGCAAGCGCTTCAAGAGCAAATCCCAATGAGACTAGCCCAACACTCACCTGATGAAACACTGCAGCTTGGTTGGAAGTCCATGCCAAGCATCCCCCAACCAACCACAGGCTCTCAGACGTTGAAAAAATGTTGAACATCATGAAAACAAATGAAAACGGTCGCTTCGGTGTAAGAAATTCCGAAAAAGATATTACATTCCCTCCATCTGCAAGAATCGTCCTGATGCCCCAGAAAGACTTCATAGCTTTTGCATCATGTTAACATAGTGTGTGCTTTCGCTACAGAACTCTCAGCACACATTCTTATTATTGACCTCCCCGTGAGCTGCCGAGAGGTACTAGCAGCATCTAGCAGCTAGTATATAGACAGCTCCTTCCTGACTCCTACTGTCATCGGCTTCCCGCCAGCACACCGCCTCTGAAACATAAGTTCATGGAGCCTCAATGAGGCTCCCCAAAGCTCAGCAACTTACAACCATGGTATGCCCTGGCACAACTGTGGTTCTAAAGTGGTAACGCCTCAAAGAAGGCTTGGTCAAGTTTCGTCTAAAGAAAAATAAGAAAACAAACTACAAAGGAAAGAAGAGCTTCTGAGTTCTTCCTTTTTTGTTTGGAGGAAGCTTTAGTAAGTAGGCTTAGGAGCGGCACAGAACCCTCATGGTGGCAAACAGTTCTTGATGTTCTTTGTTTTCTCCTTTTCTTGCCTCTTTTTTTGCTCTTGCTTGCTTGCCTGCTTATTTGCTTAGTTGCTTTCATTCGTTGTTTTTCATTTTTCTCTGTCTTTCTTTCTGTCTGTCGGTCTTTCTTTATTTATTTATGTCGTTCTTTCTTGCTTGTCCTTTTCTCCTCGGACCTGTCTTTTTCTTTAGTTCTTCCTTCCTTGATGAGCATTTGAAGGAAATGTGATGAAATGTAGAGAATACCAGGAGAAAACGGTACTTGGCAACTTTCGATCTAAGCACAGCACTTGTCGCATCGTGACCTGCTCCGCGATCTGCTCATGGCAGTGACTGCGTGGCCATGGTTCCCCCCCGCAAAGCTGAATGTGCAACGCTGCACTGCAGCAAGAAAGCTCCGCTGCTGAGCAAGAGAGTGACGGCGAAAACTGTTCGATAGAACTCACCAGTAGGAGTTGTGAATGGGTATGGCCTAAAGCCCACGTTGACATCCCTGAGTATGGCTTAAAGCCCACATTCATAAACAAACACAGGAACATCGAACATCCTCACCCAAATGTGCTTCGTGCAAAAATGCTCTTTCCGGCATGGGAGTGGAGCCCCTTCTCGGATAAATTTCGAACAAGCAGCGCTGATGGCTAAGAAGGCATACAGTGCAGGCTGTAGCCCCCACCCTGCGAAAATGCCACTTTGGCACGAGCACACGCCTGCGAGAGAACGAAGCCGAAAACCTTGTTAGCGATGCCCTTTGTACCTTGTTAGCGATGGCCTTTGCTCCTAGTAGTAAGGCCAGGAGTCCCTAGTAACGTCCTTGCTCCTAGTAGCGATGCCCTTTGCTCCTAGTAGCTTCTAGCTACTAGTAGTAATGCCCTTCTTACTAGTAGCTTCTTGCTACTACACCGCTCATCTGCCTGCCAGACGGACTCGAACCCTCCCAAAGCTGCATGACGTGTATCTGGTAGTACCCTTTGAAAGCCTTGTTTCAAAAGGCCTAAAAACCGGCATAGCCATGGACCACCTTGACCCCTTTGTGGCGGCGAAGCCCATCGTGGAAGCGTGCAATGGTTTAAGGATGTTTAAGGTGCCGCCCTGCCTGTGCAAACGTCATCCTTGCAGGTTAGCATGCTTTCCTCCATAGACCAGGGGAAGTGCAGCGAGCCACCATTGGCGAGAGATGACACCTTCCAAGCGGTTGAAGGCAACTTTCTCAATCATGCTCGAAGCAGCATTCAATGTCCGAAGCAAACCATCAGCCACACAAACTACTCGGCAAAAACAATAATGATTGAACTGGTGGATGAAATAGCCAGGTGTACAAATGAAATCCATTGAACATGTGTGATGATCCAATGAGCTGCTACTCCGCGTGGTGGTCGACCCTGCGGCCCATCCGACCTTGGGCCAACACTGGTCCTCATTGCAATCAGCATCCACCGTGCGTGGTAGCCACACCACATCTTTGGCACGGGATGCCGAAAGACTAAGTAAAGGCACCTCAAATGATGGCGGACAGCTGTGCTCGGTCAGTGTTTGGTCTACCTCCAGATTTCGTCCAAGTCGACAAAAACAATGGATAGTCTGATTCATGTCAATTCTTCGCTTCCTTTTGAAGTGGGGTTAAACTGAAGACTGTGCTCCTTTCGTATCACTCAAGCTCTACACGTACTACACAACCATAGAAACGGAAGACCCTTTTGTTTAAGACCTTGCATCTGCACTGTTGGCACCTCCTCAAGACGAATCTGCCCTTTGAAAATGTCAGCTTTTGCAACATTTTACCAACAGCAGCTTGGTGACTGCAAGCAAAGTAAAGACTGCACTGCCAGCATCGAAACCTTAGGCAAAGCGCAACTATGAAAAAGCATGCACAAGGTGCAAGCGAGAGCTAACAGGTCGGTAATTGGCTTTGAGACTGCAAAATGCAGAGGTATTATTGAATTGTGAAAAATAGTAATAAAATGTCTAGACGTCGTCCCTGTGACTCTGTGATTTTGCGAAACAAGTGAACAGAGTGGAGGCAAGCGACGCACTTTGTTCATGTAGAAATCCACGTCGCGATTGGCCTCCCAAGTTACAAGTTCCACACATCTAGGTCTAACCTGTGTATCTGCTGTATATACGGGAAAATTCAAAGAATAAGTCGTGCGATCACATGCTATAATTGTCCAACATATCTAGTCTTCACCCATCCCTCTCGTTAGCACGTTCTTTCACAGTTGAAAAGCTCCAGTATGTCCGCCTGAGAAACTCATGGCTGATTCAAGGAAATGAATACGAATGTTTTAGAGCGGATAATTTCGATTGTTTGTGGCAGATTCGTCAACAAACTTCACACAGACCGTCACAGACTCAAATCTTTCAGTCGAGGCCTCGTAGATCCCCTGTGACACGAGAGCCTCACTGGACGTGGAAGTCTGCTGTAGCTGTGTCTGTGTCCGACCGGGTGCATACTTGTGCTAGGAGCAAGGACGCTACTAGGGGCTCTTGGCCTACTACCAGTAGCAAGAAGCTACTAGTAACAAGTGCATCGCTACGAGTCGAAAACTGGTCATAAGGATGCCGCTTGGAATGCCGATGCACAAGCGCCCGCGATGCAAAGGATCAAGGGAAACATGTTCTTCATGGCCTTCGACGCAAAACGATACCGACGAATCAACATGTATTCAACCGTTTTTGGTCGAAAGGAGTGCACGGGAGTTCACTCAGAGAAGAACATCACATCATAAAACTTGCTCGCATTCTTTCCCAATGCAAGCAAGAGTGTCACCAGCATGTCATGAGGAGACCCTGGCGAGACCTGGCTCACAAGTTTTGCAGAAGATCTGGAAGGGTTACTACTAGTAAGGCACTTGTTCCTAGTAGCAAACATTGTTACTACTAGTAAGGCACCTGTTACTACTAGCGTGGCACCTGTTACTGTGAAAAAGAATCCTGGTATGACCACCCAGGTGACGGAATTGGCGCCTTTGAAAGGCCTTCCTCGAAGTCATACATCCTCACATTCCCGTGTGGCCAAGTGCGGCGCAAGTCAGGTGAGAGTGAAAGGGAGACAAAAACCGTCAGGTAAAAAGACAGCGACCCAAATTGGCCAACTTGCGCCAAGCACAAGTGCTTCACAAGTGCTTTCGGGTGGCTGCAAATAGAGGAAGGTGAAGGTACCGAGTGTTAAGATGATCACCGCAATCCATTCAACCCCTTTCCTGCGACGCAAAGCAAACTCCGCCCAGCAAATCCAAATCGAAAATGGATAGCAAACACAAGTCTGAAACCTAAGTTCAATGCGTGTCAACTATTGCATGTTTCCGCCTTGTTCATGTCTTGCACAAACACAAGAAACCCCGAACATGCAACTGCTGGCCTCCGCTTCTTGAGAACAACTCGCTCTCCAAGCGCCAGCACTGGCGTGTAGACCTGCATGAGATGTCCCTCTGCAGGAATGACCCCATATGACACTAAAGCGCTCAGTTGACACGCCGTGCAATCATCCAACCTTACCAAGAACAGCTGCCATGGGTGGAGACAAGCCAAAGGCATAGGCCATGTTGCCTTGGAGATTCCCATGTTTAATTTTACAATCTTGCACCGTTACAAGATTCAAAGTCAAATGCAAGACACGAAAAGTCAAAATCCGCAAAACTAAAGTAAACCGTTTAGATGTTCAAACGAATCGTGGCAAGCGAAGTTCCATATCAATAAACTGCAACCCAAGTGGCTAAAGCACATTGTGATCTGAGTGAACGAGGCGAAGCAGACTACAACCGACTAGAGACCAAGACCGCGGCATCTCAATGAAGGATATTTAGGCAAGAAATAGGCTGGGTGTACTTCACGGCTATATGTTGTGATGATAATGAAGGAAGGATTTGAAACCAGCTTTGAATTCAGCTTTGCGAAGGTTCTTGGGGGGGATAGGCAAAAAATGAATGGATTTATACTTCATATACGCTTATATTTGGGTGCATTTACGAACAAGGTTGCAGGGCATCAGGTAAGGTGACGGAAAAGAGATGTTTTGCTGGAACCAGGCTGTCTTTCGCCAGGGCACAGCTTGTAACACGGAAGAGCTCGTATACTCGAGAATCTTCTTGAAGTTCCAAGCTTGAAGAAGCCCCTTCGTAGACCTTTGAACGAGATAAAGCCACAAGAGCCACAACTGTTGCAAAAATGTATGTGAAAAAGAGAACGAAAAAGCTTAAGAAGCTCCAGCCAAGCAGCTCCTCCCCCAACTCCTGGCAATCAAATAAGAACAGAAGAGATTGCTTGAGGAGTTTCCTGCCACATTATGCCAGAAACACCCTGCCCTGCGGCGATGTTCTCATCACTCGCCACAGAGTGGACTCGGAATGAAGGCGCTCTTTCATCAATCGATCAGTTGAGAGTCTGGGCAAAGTGTAGGTGGAGCACCGGACTTCTTGTTCCTAGTAGCGTCCTGTTGCTACAAGTAGTAAAGGCCCGGAGCCCCTAGTAGCGTCCTTGCTCCTACTTGAGAGAGGAGGGGGTGAACGAAAGGTAGCAGGCAATCACAAGT